CAGATAGACACAGACAACAGTGTGGTGATATTCAGGGGGGAAAGGGGGTGGAGGTAGGTAGAGGTGGGAAAAGGGGGAATAAATGGGAATGGAAAGATACTTTGCTCGGGGTGATGGGCACATGGTGCAGTGTGCAGATGATGGTTTATTGAGTTGTACACTTGAAACCTGTATGGTTTTGTGAACCAATGTTACCCAAATAAATTCAATTTAAAAATAGGATCATCCTGGCTACAGTTGAGAATAGACTCTTGGATGTGGGGGAGACAAAGATAGAAGCAGGGAGAACTCTTGGGAGACTAATGTAATGATCCAGGGGAGAGGTTATGGTAGTTTAAACTGGGGTGGTAGTTGAGATGGAAAGTGGTTGGCTTTTGGATATATTTTGTAATTATATGCACATATGTCTGTCTTCCCTATTGGACTGAGTTCCTTAAAGGTGAGGACCAGGTCTTATATATATATTTTTATATCCTTAATGCCTAGTGCTATGTCTGACACAGAGTAGGTGTTCAATAACTGCTGAATGTATGCATTCTATTTCTCAAACCAGATTATATGCTCATTGGAGGGCAGTAATCATGCCTTTTTAAAGTGAATTTATTGGAGTGACATTGGTTAATGTAATTATATAGGTTTCAGGTACACAGTTCTACAATACATCATCTGTATATTGTATTGTGTGTTCACCACCTGAAGTCAAGTCTCCTTTCATCACCATTTATCTCCCTACGCCACCCCACCCTACCCTTCCCTCAGTAATCATATCTTATTCATCTTTGCAATCCCCACAGCATCAAGCCTAGTGCCTTCCCTGCCCTGGGTAGGTTCTCTTGCCTCTTGGTTAACAGGCAGATATAGGGTAAATCTGCATTCTCCACACCCCCAGTCTACCAGGCTAATGGGTAGAAGGTAAAAGTCTTCTTCAATTGTTCTTCCTGCAACTTCAAGTAAAAAAGTACCCACCAAAATGTGTCTGGAGGTCAAAACACCTCTGAGGTACAGTGTAAGGAAGTAGAGAGAATTAATTAGAACAAAGAGGGAGCCCTCTCTAACAGGTTTCCAAGGAAGGATACCATTCTGGAGAGGTGCTACAGAGAATCTATGGCACCCAGACAATAGGGCACCATAACTTAGGGACCCACCCTGTCTTCAGTGCTAATTTCACAAAACCTTTATGCTGTTTAAGGAAGATGGTAGAAGCTCCTGGCCGGCACAAGAGGGCTTCAGCAGCTCCACCCACCACGATAACCACAGCATTGCCTGAGCCTTTCTGAGTCAGCAAATACTTCAAGGCCAACTCACTCACGGGGCACACACCTGTGAAACCAAAGAGTCAACAAACTTGGTGTCTGAGGATGGGGTAAGGGGTTCTTCTGTGCTCTTAATGGTGGAGACAGTTCTTCTGTTTCCTGACTGTTGTTTTCACTCTTCTGTCTTTGACCTCTGCATCCTGGGTTACCCTAGTCTGAGGTTGGTCCTTATGTGTTGGGAGTCTATGCTGCTACAGTTGGGGTGACATTGAGTTCCTCTTCCTACTTCCTCTTAATTCAATAGTATTTAAGCCCATCCCTTCCCTCTGTACTCATGAACCACAGCCACCTTCCACTCTCCCCAGGCTGATAGCACTGGAGACTAACCAGAGTTATCTCCCCAGGAGTGATCAGGACTAGCCACCACCAACCTGCTTTCTCCCTACAGCACTTGCTGAAGAGAAGCCATTGGCTGGGGTTTCTGGGGAGTAGGCAGACCCAAGAGCCTGCTCAAATCAAATTGAAATGTAAATGAACCATGGAATAAGGATGGCACCCTGTTGCTCAACAACAGTCACAGAGTCTTTCCTCACTTCTGCTTCCCATCTCCTGGGATAGCAGAAATTGCCTCCAGGCCTCAGTCATTGAAAGAGACCTCTGCTCCAGGTTCATGCCAACCTCAGAGGGGAGCAGAGCCATCCTCTGGGACTCTAGTGTTCCCACCTGGTCACTCCAGATAAATATATCTTACCTTTTATTATTTCGCTTCAGTTGTTTTCTGGTGTCCAGAGGATGGATATTCATCCAGAGAGAAGGACATTTGTCACAGTACCCTGGCTTGTACCTTGGCATGGGGAGGTTGTTCTTGATTCTGATGGATGTTTATTCTTTATCCCTTGATGTCTTATGCAAGTTTGAAGGGGTTCCCAGGAGATGAAGGTCATGGGCCAGGAAAGTACCAGCTAGTATGAAAGACTTTAAAATGTCTTTAAGACTCCCTGGGATGAGAGCTGCTTTATAAATGACTGGCCAAAAGAAGTGAACTGATATCCCAGAAAGAGTCTGACAAAGTTCATCTGAGCTGCCCATTTCATGACTGATTTCCCCAACAGTTGGGTTTGATATTTGGTTTTTACCTTCTGCTTTCCACTTTGGCTTTGATCCTGAACTCCAGCCTTCTCCTTCTTTCTCTGAATGTATTCTTGGTAACTCTTATGAATGCCCATAATCTACTCTGCTACCTAACCAAACCCTGCCTCCCAGATCTTGGACAGAACCTGATGCTTAGCCACATACTCCTGTTACTGGTCCAGCATGTTCTGGACTCATTTTTTACTAAGTTCTCTTCCAGCAGGGAGTGAGAATTGGACTGACTCTCAGGGCTTAGTGAGGTTGGAGCCCTGAGGTACATCAGAGGATGGAATGATTTCTTATACTCACCCATTGACATCACATATTCTCTCACAATTGGGATCCAGAAGATCCATTCCAAGGTCCCTACAGAAGGAGTGATGCCTGGGAAAATCCGAGCAAAGCCAGTGGCCTCAGTGGCAAAGTTGATGAAGACACCGTAAGAGACAATGCCATGGGGGTGGTTGGCAATGATATAGTTGTGTTTGGGAGAGAGGTCATGAGTCTTCACCAGCTGTTAGAGGGAGACTGAGTCAGAACAGTGGATAGGAAGAAGGAAAAGAAGACATGTGGACTCAGATCCCAGCAGGTAACCTGTGTTTCCCTCGGGGAGCCCAAATCCCTGTTCATTGGGATGTTGCCAGGGGTTATGATGCTCAGAGAGGCTGACTTGGGTTTGTCACTGTGAGGAAAGGCTGCTATCCATCCATCTCCTCACCTGCCCATCCATCTTGGGCCCCTACTCTGCATTATGCCTCTGAGCCTTGATCTTCACTACTGGCCACCAAAACCTTTGAAAACATGAAGCTGAGTGGAGAGAGAGAATGCACCCAGAGGAAGGGGTAGTCACCTTTATTGGGAAATAATTTCGGAAATACTTCCAGAGGGTCCATTTTCGTACCCAAGCTGAACGCCTACCACCTGCGGGTACAGAAGGAAAGGGAAGAGCAGGTGAGATACTGCCAATTCTTCTATCTTTCCAAGAGGCGGAGGGTTCTTCCTACAGTCCTTAGGTCAAAGGAAGGGCATCCTTCTCACACTTCTATATTTCTAGGGCAGAGCTGTAGGTACTGTCCCTGAATCCAACCCCCAAGAAGACATGGGAAGTCCCTGCTCCTCTGGAGCCAGCCAGAAAGGTGATAGACAAATAGTGTGAGGCTGGGCACCTGTCCAGGAACATCAACCTTTTCATTCTTCCTGGGAAGCCTGGCAGAGACTTCTGTTCCATGCTGAGCTTCACTGTCCTCTCTCCCTCCCCTTCCCCTTCCTCCTTTGTACCTCCCCCTCTCTACTCCTCGCCATCACTCCTTCCTTTCCTTTCCCTTTCCCTTTCCCTTTCCCTTTCCCTTTCCCTTTCCCTTTCCCTTTCCCTTTCCCTTTCTTTTCTCTCCACACTCCTTCTCTCTCTGCCTCTCTCACTCTCTCTTTCCACCTCCCTCTCCTGTGGGTACATCCTTGGCACAGACATCCTGTGTCTCTTACCTTGACTGTGGGTGTTCCAATCATAGGCGAGCCAGGCTAAGGTGAGCACAGACAAGGTCCAGAACTTAGTGAATACCAGAAAGTAGGGTACAAGGAGAATGGGAATAGCTCCTGAGGGGACACAAAGGGTTCATGCCCTTCAGTTCTCTTCAAGTTTAATATACCTCTCATAACTGTGATCTTTACTCTATACTGAAGGAGCAGACCAAGGCTTGTTTGAGACCCATCTCCCCCTCTCCCCTAGTCCCCACCCAGCTCTTCTGTGGTCCAGGCTGGCTGTTGAGTCCCTGAATCTGGGTTCCCCTGATGGTTGAGATCTTAACTGAGGAAACAGCAGAACTATGTTAGCACATTCAGTGGAGAAGGATTGCCTGCAGTGCACAGGCTGTTTGTTGCTGAAAGGAAAACTTTTTAGAAACTGCTCTTTACTGAGTTCAATTTTGTCCCATTCAAAACGTCTCAAAGGTTCATAAGGGAAAAATGATATATGTTAGCAAAGGGCCACAGCAGTGAAATGCAAATGTGGTGTACCTTACAGCAGTGGGGATTGAATTCCATTTTAAAATATGCATTCATGAGAAAGGGACTAAGTACACATATTGTGATTAAAAAAAAAAGACCCAGCTAAGGGAATGACTTTTTTGACCAGGTAGAAAAAAATTCAGAGAAAGAGAAGAAAATCAAGAGTTACTTACACGTAGCTTCGTCTCTTGCATTTTGAGATGAAAATAACATAGACAAAAATAACAAACAAAAAAAGACAGAATGGCATGTTATGGAGTAGAAGAAACCTTAGTGATGGGCTGAATTCCCCTTATAAGGATTGACTGGGTTTTAAGGGTGGAGATTTTAGGGGAGGTCCCAGGGGAAGATCTCAATAGAATATTCAGCAGTTTTCCAGGTGTGTCCTTTCAGGTTTGTGGTCTCCACTAGCATCAGGGTAGGGGTCATTATTCAGTACAGCTGGTCCTGAGGTCAGCTGTGGCTGGTTTTGTTGCTTACCTGGGCCTGGAGCTGAAATACAGCTGAAGCCTATATGTTCTCTCTAGGGAAGAAAGGTCAGGGATTCCAACCCGCCTGACCAGTGATATGCTAGGGGAAGAAAGGTCATTCTGGAGGCGAGGCCACACTCTACAATTGTGCTTTGCTAGGCACCTGAGGCTTTCTGCCCTGATGACGTTCTATACCTGGTCCATCATCCTTGCTCTGCTCACATCTGTCTAACCGCCTACCACAGTTTGAATGACGGTTGTTCTGTAGTTTAGTTGTAGTTTTGATATGGTTATGGGAGGATGCAAGTACTGTGTTTACCTATGCCGGCATCTTGACTGGAAGTCCTGGCCAATTCATTTTTGACAAAGATACAAAGCAATTCAATGGAGGAAGGGTAGTCTTTTCAACAAATGATGTTGGAACAGTTCGATATTCATATGTAGTAAGTAAACCTTGACCAAAACCTCACATTTTATTAAGAAATTAACTCAAAATTGATCATAGATCTAAATGTAAAACACAAAATTGTAAAACTCTTAGTAAAAAACAAAGGAGAAACCCTTTATGAGCCATGGTTAGATAAAGAGTCCTTGGATTTGACATCAAAAGCACAATCTGAAAAAAAAACAAAAACCCAAGGGAGCTGCCATAAGACTGTCAGCTGAATTCTCAACAGAAACTTTACAGGCCAGGAGGGACTGGCAAGAAATATTCAAAGTGATGAAAAGCAAGGACCTATAAATAAGATTACTCTACGCAGCAAAACTATCATTTAGAATTGAAAGACATATAAAGAGCTTCCCAAGCAAAGAAAAGCTAAAGGAGCTCATCACCACCAAACCAGTATTACATGAAATGTTAAAGAGTCTTCTTTAAGCAAAAGAAGGAAAAAAAAAGATAAAAAAATATGAACAATAAAATGGCAATAAATACATATCTATCAAAAATTTAATCTAAAAAACAAAATAAATGAAAAATCAGAACAAAAACAGACTCATAGATACAGAGAACATTTAAAAAATATTTTTTCTTGATTTTGAGAGAGAGAGAGGAAGGGAGAGAGAGAAACATCAATATGAGAGTGAAACATCAATCAGCTACCAGGGCATGTGCCCTCACCAGGAATCAAACAGGCAATGCCCAACCAACAGAGCCACATTGGCCAGGGCCATATAGAGAATATTTTGACAGTTGTCAGATTGGAGGGTATTGGGGAATGAGTGAAAAGGTGAAGAGGTTAAGAAGCACAAATTGGTAGAATATAAATTCTGTAGAATAGTCATGGGGATGTAAAGTATAGCATAGGGAATATAGTCGGGAATATTCTAATAACTATGTATGGTGTGAGATGGGTACTAGATTTATTGGGATGATCACTTTGTAAGTTATATAAATGTCTAATTGCTGGGGTGTACATCTGAAACTAATATAATATTGTATGTCAAATGTTATTGAAAAATTTTTAAAATGATTTAAATTTTAAAAATTCAGTAAAATAAAAAATAAAATTAAGAGGTATGCTTGACACAATGAAGCTAATCATCCTAAGCTTCTAAAAAACCTCAACAATTGGTCATATTCATGTGGATCTATTTCTGAACTCTATATTCTGTTCCATTGATCACTATGTCTATCCCCTTACCAATAATCACTGTCTTGATTTCTGTAGTTTCTGGCCTGCAAAGTTTCTGTTGAGAAATCAGGTGACAGTCTTATGGCAGCTCCCTTGCAGGTAACTAACTGCCTCTCTTTTGCTGCTTTTAAGATTCTCTCTTTGTCTTTAACCTTTGGCATTTTAATTATGATGTGTCTTGGTGTGGCCTCTGTGAGCTCATCTTGCATGGGACTCTGACTTTCCTGGAGTCTTAAGATCAGATAGTGTGATTCTTTCAACTTTATTATTTTTCAAAATTGTTTTAGCTATTGTAGTTCTTCTATTTTTCTATATAAATTTTGTCTATGTCTACAAAAACTCCAGATGGGAGTTTTAAAATTAAACAATTTCTTTTGAAAAAACTTTATATCAACAGAAAATTTGCAAGAGTATATATATTTTTTTTAATTCTCACCCAAGGATATATTTTCCACTGCTTTTCAGAGAGAGTGGAACGGAGAGAGAGAGAGAAACATCAATGTGAGAGAGACACATTGATTGGTTGCCTCCTGCACATGCCCCAACCAGAGCTGGGGATGGAGCCTGCAACCCAGGTATGTGCCCTTGGCCGGAATCGAACCAGGGACCCTTCAGTCAATGGGCTGATGCTTTCACCACTGAGCAAACCTGGCTAGGGCTGCAAGAATATTTTAATAAAATTCCATATAACCTTCACCTAGATCTACCCCTCCTTAACATTTTACATTTGATTTATCTCTAAATATAAATATATATAAATATATGTTTGTATTTGAGAGTATATTGCAGAGACAACAACACTTTACCCCTAAATACCTGTGTGTATTTTCTAAAAACAAAGACATTCTCTTCCCTTATAGCACTCATAGTGCTATTATCAAATTTGGAAAATTTTAATATTTATGCAAAACTCTTATCTAATACACTCTACTGGGACTTTTATTTGAATTGCATTACATTTATAGATTTGGGGAGAATTGACATCTTTACTATACTGAGTCTTCCAATCATGAATACAGTATATCTATTTAGGTGTTTAATTGTATTCATTAGCATTTGGTAGTTTTCAGCCTACAAATACCGTAAAGGTTTTGTTAAATCTATTCATTTTTTGGAAGTATTGAAATGATATTGTTTTTTAAATTTCTATTTTAAATTTTTCTCTGCTAGTATGTAGAAATGTGGTTAATTTTAATATGTGATCTTGTATCCTGTCACTTTGCTAACCTCATTTGTTAGTTCTTGGAGGTTTTTGTGTTTTTAGTAAATTCCTTGGGATTTTCTACACAATCATGTCATCTGTAATTAGGGCAGTTTTAGATTTTTTTTTTTTTTTTTCAATTTGTATGCTTTTCTATGTATTTTTTTCTTCTTGTCTTATTGCCATTGCTAGGACTTTTAGTGTGATGTTGAATACAAATGGTGGGAGTGGACATCTTGCTTTGCTCCCAGTCTTAGGAGGAAAGCTTTCAGTCTTTCACCATTAGCATAATGTTAACTTCAGGGGTTTTTTGTAGATGTTCTTTATCAAGTTGAAGAAGTTTCCTTCTATTCCTAGTTTGCTGAGAGTTTTTATCTTGATTGAAATTGATGTCTGTCAATTGCTATTTCTACATCAGTGGATATGATTGTGTGTTTTTTCTTTCTTGGATGGTTAATAGAGTAGTTTACATTGATTGATTTTCAAATATTTACACTTGCATTCCTGGAATAAAGCTCACTTGGTGGTGGCATATTATGCCTTGTAAATATTGCTGGATTCAATTTGCTAGAATTTTGTTGAGGATTTTGCATTATATTCACGAGGAATAGTGGCCTATAGTTTTTTTTGGTTTTTTTGTACTGTTTTTGTCTGGCCTTGGTATCAGTGTTTAGCCTCATAAATGAGTTGGCAAGTGTTCCTTCCTATTCTGTTTTCTGGATAAGATTGTGTAGAATCTGTGATATATATTCTTTAAATTGTTTGGTGGAATCCATTTGGGCCTGCAGATTTCTGTTTTGGAAGGTTTTTAACCTTCCATGATTAATATTTAATTTAATTTAATTAGTAGTTATAGATTACCTATTTTATCTATGCTGAGTTTTGGTTGTTTGTAATTTTTGAGGGCCTCCAAATACAATTGCTAATTTGTCTATTTTTCTTTTCAGTTCTGTCAGTTTTTTTCATATATTTTGAAGTTCTATTGTTAGGTGCATACACAGTTAAGATAGTTATGTCTTCTTGGTGAATTGACACTTTTATTATTATGTAATGTCCCTCTTTATCTCTGGTCCTTTCTTAAACCTGTACAGCCTCAAATTACTAATGATTACTAACTTAAGTTAGAGATGGTACCAATATGAATCTAAGTTTGTCCTCTCTTCAAGTCATTTCTGATTTGTCCCACTTGTTCACTTTCCCCATATAGTAATAGCCAATATTTATTGTACACTCATTATGTAAAACTGTTTTACATGCATATTTTATTTAATCTTTGTAAAGACC